CCTGTACCCCGCACCCTGCTCACTACCATGGCCTGTACCCCACACCCTGCTCACTACTGTGTCCTGTGCCCCCACCCCCTGCTCACCTCCTTGCCTTGTGTCCCACACCCTGCTCGCTGCCGTGGTCTGTGCTCTTACACCTGTCATGCATGTCCTTCGCATTTGAGTCCATATCGCAGACCTTGTTTTTGTCCTCCCAGGCCCCAGTCCTGCAGTATCTGTATTACCTGGCCCAGATTGGCATCGCCATGTCTCCACTCAGCAACAACAGTCTCTTCCTCAGCTACCATCGGAACCCACTCCCTGAGTACCTGTCTCGTGGTCTCATGGTCTCGCTTTCCACTGATGACCCCCTCCAATTTCACTTCACTAAGGTTTGAACCCACCACGCAGCCAGTGGGGCAGGTGTTCTGGAACATGCGAGCCCCCAGCACTAGGGGTCTCAGAGGGTTGGTGCTGCCCCCTGCTGGCAGAATGTGGTATCCCAGTGGCCAGCTGATCAGCAAGTCCCCACAAGGGCAGGAGGGCCAGTGGGCCAGGGGCTGGGGAGCATGTCTGAGGGAGCCTGGCTTGTGCAGGAGCCACTGATGGAAGAGTACAGCATTGCTACCCAGGTGTGGAAGCTCAGCTCCTGCGACATGTGTGAACTGGCCCGAAACAGCGTGCTCATGAGTGGCTTCTCCCACAAGGTACTACCTCTGCCCCTAGGCCTGCCTGAACCCTCATCTCTCCATTTCTGCATTTAGGAAGTTTCTGGGCATCTGGTCCTGTCCTTAGGATGACCTCTCAGCTGGCTGCAGCTGTACCCATTCACTCACCCCCTCAGGTAAAGAGTCACTGGCTAGGACCCAATTACACCAAGGAGGGCCCTGAGGGCAATGACATCCGCCGCACCAACGTGCCGGACATCCGAGTGGGCTACCGCTATGAAACGCTGTGCCAGGAGCTGGCCCTCATCACGCAGGCGATCCAGAGTGAGATGCTGGAGACCATCCCGGAGGAGACAGGCCTTACCATCAGCCCCGGGCCTCAGTGAGCCTGGCCAGCCTGTGCCCGCCGCATCTCAGCACCCTGACCACGTTTTGTTCTCAGACCCCTCCCATCATGTCGTGGTCTTTGCATGTGTTGGCTCTTCTGGTTTTGTCCCGCATGTCTGACCATGTAGCTGTCCCTGTGCACCCGGTGAAAGTGATGCTCGGGAATCTGCTTCTCTGTGTGTCAGCTCAGGCAGCACCCGGCGGCCCTGCTCCGGGAGCCTCTGCAGTCTAGCTCTCCTCGTTTCTGTTGCGTTTCCTCTGGCTGAGAGCTCAGTTGCAGCCTGGGCCACCTAGTCCTGAGGGAGTGGACTCAGGCCTTGGGGGTGCTGGAGCAGGATCTCCACACCTCCCGGCATCCGCCAAATCACTGCCCCAGCAGCCTTCTCCGTCCTTTCTCAGTCCGTGTGCTCTTCTGCTTCCTGTGCCTCTGTGGGAGGGGCAGCCGCCCTGTGCTGTGTCTGGGGCCGCTACAGCTGGATCTGCCACTAGCCTTGGAAGTGGTGTCTCTGAGATGGTCCCAGGATTTTGACCAGTTCTTGATCCCAGCTGGGCCCATGTGTCATGTTCTGGACTGAGGCCTTTGCTATGAAATACAGTGTTTCATACAGTTCCATCTTTCCTAGTGCATGAGAAATAAAAGATTATTTAAGTAATGAAGTGTATGGGTCATTGTTGGGTGGGTGTGGGAGAGCCATGGGTGGAGGCTGCTATCACTGAGGGCTGGGTACTTTTTGGATTGAGCCTTCTGTGGGGAGTAGGTGGGGTGGAGAGAGTGTGTACATGGAAACTGACACAGGAAGCTTAGAGAGAGATGCTTACTGGAGCGCCATCTGCCTCTCCCAGCCCCTCGTCCAGTCCCACTTCCAGCCTTGTCGATGTGGGATTTGCTCATAGCTGAAGTACACCTGAATCCATCACTTCTCAAACTCTGGAGACATCAGGATCTTCTGGGGAATTTGTTTTTGTTACGAATGCAGATTTCCAAGTCCTACCTTCCAAGACTGGGCATGGTGGAGTGTAGAGAGATCCCTGAATAGTGCAAATGGATCACAGTGGGTATTATTAAAAGCTTGATGGCTCATGTCCCATTGGAAGAAAGGCCCAACATCTACTTGCAGGAAAAGATTACAGATTTGAGAATTCTTTGGTGCACAGTTTTACATATGTGGGGTCACCATGAGTTAGAATGAATTTTACATAACAATTGCTTTAGTGGATGATGTAAAAGTCTGCAAGTCCAGGATACTGTGCGTGTGTTCTGAGCGGAGCCTTAACCAATAAACAAGACTATCTGGAGCCCGTCTTTGGACTCAGTGGTTACAGGAGGCATTTGCCCATGTGAAGAGGAAGTTAGGATTGCTCAGTGCTGTGTGGGATTCTGGGTGGGCCATAGAGAAGTCTGGTCAGCAGAGCCTGAAGCTGTGTGACGGGGAAGAAACCAGCCAGCTGCTGCTGCAGTAATCATGACCCTGGAACGTTGTGAACCCATGTAATAGCTGGTGGGGGAACGAGGTGTAATTTCCCCCTCCTCTGCTCGTTCTACATCAGCCCTGCCGCCTGCAGATATGCTCAGCGTGGGAGCACGTCAGCTTGGTGTCTGGTGTCCAGCCTGGTGTCTCCTCTCCAGGCATCCTCAGTGTCTTTGGGCAGAAGTTCTCCTGATGTCCCTGCCCTCCCAACAGCCTTCTCTTGGCCATGACCCAGGGACTCTGTCCAAAAGCCTCTTGCCAGTGTCCTGAGAAATACAAAACCAAAACGTGAGCTGCTGTTTGATTCTGAGTAGAAAGGGGTTTTCCGCAAGTTTAATCTTTGACGATCTAATCAAAGCAGAGAGCCAGCCCTTTCTTTTAAGACATTTGGTTAGATCAAACGGCCAAACTTTGAGTTAGTAGCTAAGAACAAACCATTCGTTCCACCCAGGGACTTAACACTTTGTCAATGCATTAATTTCAACTCTGTGGCAACTCATTTTAGTTACTTAGCACAGAGCTGGGTGGTGAATTGAACGCGCTTCTGATTTCTGGGTAGGGAAACATGTTCAGGAGGGAAAAGTGGCCAGAGGTAGGACTTAGACAGGAAACTAGTGTCCAGCCATGCCGTCCCTCCCCAGACCCTGCAGGCCCTTAGCATGGCCCTTTCAAGAATCAAAGGAACATAACTATTCACTACTCTCCTCTGCCTTCATTTATAAAGCAAGAGAGTAAGATGAGGAAATCTTTCCAGAAGGGTTGCCATCACTTTCCATGTTTACTTGTCAAATTAATATTTTAATAAACTCTCATTCCTTTTTTTTTTGTCCCTGGTGTGTCCTGAGGCCCAACCCCAAGCATAATGACTGATTTTCTTAGCAACCTCTCCACTATTTTAACAACTTGCTTCTGGTGTTTTAGTGCCTCAGATCTCTCAAACATTACAAAGAATTTTTAAAATTGTAACACCATAATACTTTTGCCCTCTGTAAAGAACATCATTTTCATTAAAAAATTTTGGAAAATGAGGAAAAAACGAGAAGAAAATACCACTTATTATCCACCGATATCATTAAATATTTGCTAATTATTGCATCCTTAATATATACATTTATACTAATACACATTTATACTCCTTTTGTTCTTTCCCCTAATCCACTGCCTTAAGCACTTGGCTTTGACTCCTTTCCTTTTGTCGTTTTAGAAAATATCTCTTTTAAGAGTTGAGATAGTGTATGTATAGTTTTGTGCCTTTAGATTAATCTCCACATTTCACTAAAATACTCTGCAAATACTCTGCAAAGGGTCAAGGACTGCAGCCTTCAGTATGGACTAAGGCTCAACGTCAAGAAGACAAAGATTCTCGCCACTGGACCAATTGGCAGCGTCAGGATGGATGATGAAGAGATTGAGAGTGTTCACAGCTTCACTTTGCTCGGCTCCACAGTTAACACTCTTGGTACCAGCAGTCAGGAAATCAAAAAGCGTATCACGATGGGAAAGTCTGCCATTAGGGACCTCTCAAACGTACTCAGGAGCAACAGTGTCTCTCTGGAGACTAAGGTGCGCCTGATACAGGTCATGGTATTTGCAATCGCTTGTTATGCATCAGAGAGTTGGACAATGACTAGGGAGGACAGGAGAGTGGATGCTTTTGAGCTGTGGTGCTGGAGAATGGTACTGAATGTACCCTGGACTGCCAGGAAAACAAACACATCCATCTTGGAGAGGATTAAACCAAGCTGCTCCTTGGAGGCAAGGATTCTGGGGCTTCGTCTGACATACTTTGGACATGTTGCCAGGAGGGACGGGTCCTTGGAGAGGGACATCATGCTTGGGAGGGTGGAGGGACAGCGCAGGAGGGGAAGACCCTCTATGAGATGGATTGATTCAGTGACTGGGGTAATCGGGATGGGTGTGTCAGAGGCGCAGGATAGAGCAGGGTTTAGAGCTGTTGTGCATAGGGTCGCTATGAGTCGGAAACGACTCGATGGCACATAACAACAACAACTCTGCAAATACTCATTTTAATTACAATACACCATCCTCTGCAGCCTCACTGATTTGCCCTCTTTTCTGTTAAGAATGACCACAGGCAGTTCAGTGTAGGAGAGGAAGACCTTGAATGAGCTGGTTTGACACTGTGGCAATGGGGTCAGGAGTGTCAGAGATGGTGAGATTGGCTCAATTGGGCAAGATTTAGAGCCATTTGAGGGTCCCTGTGAGTCGTAGTGGCACATATAACTGCAGTGACTAACTGCTCTGGACCCAGATCCTTTGCTTGTCTTGGTTTCTCCAGCTCTCTGGCTGTGTGACCTTGGACAAGTCACTTCACCTCCTGTGTGCTGCTCAAACCTTTTTTTTAATTTTATGTAACTACATCATGTATATACATTTAAAAGTGATGTTACCTTGAAGGAAACTTAAAGGGTACTTAAAAAGTATCTGGATAATTTTTTACCCTGGACAAGCATCCCAGTCTGATAGACTCTGCCAGCCCCTCACTGTCCCCTTTACTCCTCTGGGAGGTGGTTCCTGGTTCTGATACTGAGCCAGTCAGGAGGGGTGGGGTGTAGGAATCCCTTATACCCTCCCCTCCTGATGTTTGTGACTGTGAGTTTAAACTTTGTGCAGGACCAGTTCCATACACAGGCAGGTTCAAGGAGGCAGATTTAGTTATGCCCTGTATGTAGTCTTTTAAAGCAAACTGTTTCAGTTCCCTCCTTCTTTCAAATAGAAGTCTGCAGCCATCTCCAAGAGAGGTCACAGGGAGGAGCAGGATTCTAAAAAGGGAAGGAAGTGGGAGGCTAGAGGGCTGGGGCAGGGCAGGAGGGAGGGTGGGAGCGAGAAGGAGAGGGACAGGGCTTCGCATCTGCTTACAGTTCAAAGCAGGTGCTGTGCCTTGAGGACAGGAGGCAGCAATGGGCTGGCTTCACCAGAGCGAACTTATTTCTATCAAGAATGGTTTAAAACACTATTTTGGACCTAATAATTCTCCTCGTGAACAGCTGTTGTCATCAGTGTTGTTAATTCCAGCTCACAGTGAGCCTGTGTGACATCCAGTCTCCTAGGTTGTAATCCATATGGGAGCAGATAGCTGGACTTTTCTCCTACAGAACCTATGGGTGAGTTTAAACCACCAATCATTTGTTTTAGCAGTCAAACACTTAACCATTGTGTTACCAGGGTTCCTGTGATCAACTAGATTAGTGTCATACTCTGTAAACTTTTCTTCTTGTTGTTATTTTGTGTCATCAAGTCAACCGTGACTCAAGCGGCCCTATATGCAAAAGCTCTAAACCCTGCCCTATCCTGAGCCAGTCTAACTGTCTCAGTCACACCTGCTTCCATTACTCCAGTTACTGTGTCAATCTATCTCATTCAGGTCTTCCTGTCACGCGATGTCCCTCCACCCTTCCAAGAATGATGTCCCTTTCTAGGGATTGGTCCCTCCTGGCCACATGCCCAAAGTATGTGAGGCAGAGCTTCAAAATCCTTTCCTCCAAGGAGCAGTCTGGTTTCACTCTGTC